GCCTTCATGTAAGCTGATAAAAGCAGTATACTCGTAAACCAGCAGCATCGCATTTTCACAAGAACCCAGGGATCCGTACAAGAACGGGCAGGGGAGAGCACGGGGGCTTTGCACCTACGTCCTGTGCCTCCAGATTTGTTTACCCGTAATTGCCATGCAAGGATAAAATAGAACAAGAAATGCACACTGCCTGGCAGTGGTGACACCAACCCTGTAAATAATTATAATTTAATCGTATAGCAAAGAGTCCTGAATGACTCCCCTAACGATTTCCTCTGCTTAATTCCTTCCCCACTGAGTGACTTAATAGGAAAAGGAATACTCTTTCAGATTTGTTTCACTCCAGAAGTTTGGACAACGCATACACCCGCACCTGGGGAGCAGAAGCCGTGGGAGACCATTTGGCCCACGGATAAACAAGCGAGTCGAAGAGGCCCTGAGACCGGAAGAGGGAGCTGGCAGGGATATTCATCTTGGCGTCTGTTGACGGAAGTCAAAATTTGGGAATAACCTAACAAGAGATCTGACGAGGGAAGTCTGCACATTCTGACACGGGATGCCACACAGCCACGGCAATCCTCCCATGCTGTCATGGTTAAGAAGATGGGCTTTCGAGGCCGACTAACCTGGGATTGAATCCCAGCTCTTCTCCTTACTAGCTGTGTGACTTCACGCATGTCGCACAACCTCTCTGGGCCTCATTTGCCTCATCTGTAAAAGGAGGAAAACTATGCTACCTACTTCACAGATGTTTTATAAAGATGAAATGAACTTAGAGCTCTAAGAGCTTAGAACTAGCCTGCCACATGTTGATAATAAATGATACTATTATCACACCTATTATATTTTGGAGGCATCTGTAATGATATTGAAAAGTTTTCATGATCTAATGCTAAATTAAAAATACATAACTACAGGCATGTTAAGAATCTAATTTTGCAATACTAAAAATATACATATAAGTAGCCAGCGAGCTTGATCTAGGCAAACAAAAAGCCAAAGGGGAATACAACCAAAGTTTAATACCTGTTATTCATTTCTCTATAACTTTTTGTACTTTTCATGTTTTCTATAAGGTGCATATGTATTACATTTATCATTAGAAACATAGGTATTTTACAAAAAGAGGCAGGGGACAGGGTCTTCAGGCTGGGCCGGTCACTGGGGCTCCAGTTCAGTGAAGGATCACCTAGACTTTTCAACCCAACTCCCAGCTCCAAGTGTCCAGCCGTTGCCCACAGACTAGAACGTCAACCTCCGTACAGCAGTTTAACTCTCCGGCTCACATGCGCTTCTCTCAACACCCCATCCGGGGTCGTAAATGACCTGGCCAAGTTAACAGACAACTTACGACACCAAGGTCTTCTGACTCCCAGGTCGGTTTGCCTTCTACGGTACCAGGTGAGTTCTCCAGACTATATGGGTCTCCAAATCTCAGCGTCTGCATTTTGGAGGAGCCAGTCCATTCCCACTTTATCCTTTCCAAATAGTCACACTTGGCTCCCTCCTCCTGCGGGCTTGTCTGATTTTCTCACCCTCCAATGACCATGTCTTACTCAGCGGGTGTTTCTCTCACAGCACACCTGGAATAAGAGGTGTTCAGAGCCCCTGCCCCGCCTCCTGGTTCCTTCCTCAGCCCCGCTGGCCACCGTGCTTTCCTAGGCACTGTCCTTCCCCGCCTCTAGCGGTCACCCATTTTCTGCTTCACTCAGAGCCTTATGGCGCCTCTTCTGCCCTCATCCGCAGGCACCGCGCCCTGCCTTCCCCGGGCACTGGGCCGCCACCAAGGCTGCAAAGATGCACATCTGGCCTGAAGCACTCTGGACACACCCTTCTACTGGCTCCTGATGTGCTGGCACAGGTCCCCCTGCTGCCCTGATAACACAACCACAAGGACAATATGAGAGGGCATTGGAAACGCCACACGGCCACTCTCAAGGCTTGTCACCCATACAGGAAGCTGGACACGTCCTGAAGCCAACCTCAGAGTGGACATGTCCCGCAGGTCCAAGTCTGGAAGATGACCAGCAATTGAGGCCGGTACGTCTCCATCATCCCTCTCCTCCTGAGCCCGTCAATGTGGGCAGAGCACACCCCAGAAACGCCCGCACTTTTTGGTAAAGCCAGAACGACGGGGAGCAAGCTTATCCCTCCCTTCAGAAACCCAGACGTAATACCTTCCCTGGCTCGGGGCCCAGGAGTGCGAAAGCAGTTGCCATTTAAGGTTCTATTCCCTTTGTTGGATACTATGAATATGTCTTCCAGAAATGGAACAATTATTTCAGATAATTTCACTGAGACCCTGTCCATGTCCTGAGACCAGAATATTTTTAGTCTTCATGCAAGTTACTCAACCAAGACTGATCATGACATTTTTCAGTAAGGACATGCTTCAAATCAGATACCAAAATCAGTGTAAACATTTACCCCGGCTCTAAAAATATACAGTGATGTCTCATTATGATGAGAGGAAAACTCCAACAGTGGGTGTAGAAGTGACCAAGAGGCCTTCGGCTGCAGGTCCAGGCGCAAGGGAGACTGCAACCCCCTAAGCCACAGCTGTACACGACGGGAGAGGGGGTGGGGATGGTGCTTACCAGAGGGAGGAGCCTTCGGTCCCCGTGACTTCCAGAAAGTCGTAACCGTCCTCCAGCTGGAAGTCAATGAAGACCAGAGCGATGGTGTCTCCCAGCTCGGCCAGGATGGTCCATGTGCAGTCAGCGTTGTTATGATACTCCAACGGGAAGTGGGGGCTGGAGATGATGCCGCTCTGGCCCCGCAGGGTCCCACCACAGGCATCGTCCGCTGTGGGCGAGAGACAAGAGGCTCCGGTGAGTTGGTCCTGTTCGCAGGCCCTGGGACTTCACTGAGCCCTTCACCGTGAGAAGTAGAGAGGGTCTTGAAACCTGATACACACAGGACAGGCCAAGATCCTAGTCTGAATTGGACTAAGAATGATGCTACAAACTCTTCCATAGCCCTTACCACATGCCAGGCCCTGTCGTGAGAATTTTAGATATCATCGTTCCCACTGAACAGATGAAGAAACCAAGGCACAGGGAGGTTAAGGAACTTGCCTGCAGTCACACAGCCAATGAGCAGGGATGGGAACTATGCCCTCCAGAGCGCATCCTTAACGACTACGCCACACAGCTCCGTGAGGACAAGGAGGCATGGAGAAGTCAGCTGCCCCATTCAATTCCATGGTCACAACTGTGGTGAATAGGATATTTCTTTCCATCAGGTCTTAGTAAACCTCAGGTGTGATGGAACAGAACAAAAACTCAACCCTACCCCCTGGGGCAAAACTCAAAGTACATTCCAGGCCCGTCACAGCCTGGCCGGCCCTCTGCCATCTTTCCTCCTGCCCCTCGTCCTCAGGCCAGCTCTGTTTTAGTGCTGCACATGTTCAGGCCTCCTGCCCTTCGCTCATACCATTCAGTCTGCCCAGGATGGCCTCTGTCCACGGCAGCTCTTCTCCTGCTTGGAGACCCAACTCCAGTGCCACCTCTTGGTAAAGCCTTCTTTCCCAAGCATTTAGTGCTGCTCTCCTCGGTGTTCCCGCAGCAATGTGTCCGACTTCAGACTCAGCGCATCGCACTGTTTGAATGACCTGTTCACATATCTGTCTTCCACTCTAGGTTCTGAGCTCTGCTGGGAGTCCCCAAGGGCGGGGGCCATGTTTTACTCATTCCTGCGGCATAACCTGGTACGGTCTCGCTGCTCCCAGCTGAGACTTGATATTCAGAAAAAGGGATTCGCGGAACAAGCTCTGACATGTAATAGTTAAGAGCGCTGGCTTTTGAATTATTGCAAACCTCAGTGTGAATCCTTCCCCTGCTGCTTACCAGCTGGGTCACCTGCCCCCCTGGAGCTTGCATGCAAGTAAGTGATTATAATACAGTTAGCACATGCTATATTAGAGATATGGACTAAATCATAAAGAAAGGCAAAATGCAACATCCGGGTTCAAATGTGTATCAGAGGCAGCAGAGTCACAATAATAAAACCTAAGACTTATTGAGCACTTATACTGTAGCAGGCACTAGTCTAACTACTCCACATATTTTACTTGATCCTTACTATGGCCCTATGAACTATCATTCCCATTTTACAGGTAAGGAAACCAAGGCACAAAGAGATTCAGTTATTTGCAAAGGTGACACAGCTCACAGTAATGAAAGGAGCTAGAATTCTAAGCCCTACAGTCTGATTCCAGGGCCTATGCTCTTAACCAATATACTCTGCTGTCTCCCAGGAGTATATTTCACTGTTTGAGGACATAGGTAAAGAAACAATTCCTTTGCTTGGGTAAGTCAATTTGGGAAAGCTTAACAGAGAAGGTGCCATTAGAGTTGGGTTTTGAAGGATGAATAGGAGTTCACTAGATCGAGAAGGAAAAGGCATTTACGAGATCACCAAATATCATAAGGACAGAAGCATGAAAGCATAAGGTATACTCTAAGATAAGTAGCTCTAGATAGCTTATCAGAGAGTACATAGAGAGGGAAAATGGGTCCTGGCACTAAAAAGGTAGAAGGAGCTAAGTGACAAAGAACACTGCGCCAGAAGCATTTGAAAGCAGAGGAATATACTGGAAAGAAAATGGATTTTAAGGTCAAAGATTTAGATTTGAATTCAGGCGCCACAATTTCCCAGCCATGTGACCTTGGGCGATTTGTTTCCCTAGGACTCATTTTGCTTCTCTGCACAGTGGTTTGTTGTGAGAACTAAACGGGAGAATTAATGTACCTGGCACTAGCCAGTGACTATAGATGCCCAGCTAGTGCTATGTTCTCCTTTTCCTTCCGCTTCATCTTGAGGATCAAAGACAGTGAAGAAATATGATTAAGTTTGCATTTTAGAAGGATTACTGTGGCTGTGGCACAGAGGAGGTCTAAATGGGGGGAGCAGGCAGGGTGCTTTGGGCAGGCCATAGTTACCTCAGTCCAGCTGAGGCCAGATGAGATCTGAGCTGGGCCATGGGGGAGGGTGTGAGAAGACTTATTTGAGAGATATTTAGGAATTCGAATCCGCAGGACTTAGCAGCTGGGAGGGATGAATTCTGGGTTTCTGTCATGAAAGTGGATGGGTAGATGGCTGGATGAAAGGTGCTATTTCCTGTGGCAGGGGACCCAGGAGGGGAGCACCTTGTGGTGTGGCAGGCCACAAGAGGTGCAGTTTTGGACACCAGGGCTGGGTGTGTGTGTGTGTGTGGGGGGGGTAGGGGGCATATTGGTAGAGAGATTGAGATGATAGTTCGATATACAGGAGTAGTGTGGGATGGAGATAAAAGTGAATTTATTAGGTAGCCTTGAATTATTCTTCTTGATGTCATTCTACAGGGTCAAGGTCTGTTTCAAAAGAATGAGCCCATTTCTAAATGCCACTGTTAAGTACATATGAGTACAGTCATGAAGGGGCCTCACTCAGTAGGTGCTCATGAATGTTTTCCTCCTACACTCATTAACTGAGCACCTCCTACTATGTGCCCAACGCTGGGCTAGGGCCAGTACTGCATTAAGAAAAACTTGATTTCATCCTTGTCCCCAAGGCTTCTCAGAGTCGGGCATCAGGCAAACATGCAGCGGCTCCCCAGAATTGTTAAAACTGAGGAGTCAAGACAGTGATAACACACGGGACTGAGGGAAGGCTTCACAGAGGAGGCAACATTTGTAGGCTTCACTCATTCATTCATTCATTCACTCACTCATTCATTCAACAAATGTCAAGTTCTGTTCTAGGTGCTCGGGATCCATGTATAAATAAAACAAACAAAATTTCCTACTCTCAAAACATGCATTTGCCACGGTCAAAATGGCAGAGTAACTGAACTGGTAGATGCTGTGATTGCTTCCTCCCACAACCACCTGAAAATTACAACTAAACTTCAGAGCAACCATCATTGAGAACCACCTGAAGTCTAGTTGAACAGAAGCCCCACAACTAAGGACATAGAGAAGAAGACACCTCAAGACTGGTAGGAGGGCCGGAGACATGGAAATGGCTGGTCCCATACCCACATATAGCGGTTAAAAGTTGGGAGGGGTATTTCAGCTGGGAAGGTCTCTCTTGAGGAGTGAGGGGTCCCACCCCAACACCCGGCTCCCCAACCCATGATTCTGGTTCCAGTGACGAAAAGAGAAGTCCCCACAATTTCTGGCTGTGAAAACCAGCAGAGATTGTGGCTGGGTGAGACTACAGGCTCTGGAGTCCCAGACGCTCCTCTTACAGGGCCTGTGCAGAGACTTACAAACTGATGGACTCACTGCTCTGAGCGTAAGCACTGGGGCAGCAGGTGGAAAGGCACCAGGGACATACAGGGAGAAAATGAATTGTCTGGCTTCAGAGTGAGGGTTGGAGGGGCAGCTTTCTCCCAGACAGAAGTGCTGGCAGAACACACTGTTGCTTTGTTGAACCCTCCCGCCACCCCATCCGATCTGCACACTCAGGCAGGAGCCATATCTGAGTCTTCCTTAACCTAGCTAACATACTTCATCCCACCCAGGTGATTCCCTGAGACCTGGCCCCACCCATTTCCAGTGGATTTTCCATACAAACAGCCTATCTTGGCTTATGCTGTGGACTTTCCTAAAATCTCTCAAAGGTTCACAAACCCCAAACAAGCAGCATCTGGCCTTGGCATACCCCATACCTCGTGCTAAGTAGCCGCAAGCCCAGCACTAACAGAGGCTACCGTTAGTTCCCAGCTTCACAGCTTAGCCTCTCCCAGGCACCTCTAAGCCCAGCACAAGTGGCAATCATCTGCAGATCACTTTGTAGTTCATACCAAGTGGCCTTGAGCAAGGCAGAGACAGTGTCTGAGCTTAGCCTGCACTAGAGCATCTCTCAAGAGGCCCTAGAACCAACACACCCAGTGGCCAGCTTCAGATCACACCAGAGCACCACCCAACCAGGTCCACATACAACACACCCAAAGGACAGACTCAGCAGGCACCAGAGCCCTGCTAAAGCGAATCCTGCTCAATAGAGCCAGCTTCTGCACAAGCTCCTCTACTATAGTCACAGCCAGTCTCCACAACCAATCAGTATCAGGGTCAATCACTCCCACGGACATGTAAACAGCAATCAAGGCTCAACTACACTAGGAGGGCACACACAACACATGCAAGGGACACACCTGGAGCACCCTGCTCAGGTGACCAGGGAAACTGCGCCACTGGGCTCCACAGGACACCTACTGCATAAGGCCACCCCATTAAGACTGGGAAACAGCAGCCCTACATTATACGCACATGGAAAAAACAGGGAGGTGGACAAAATGAGGAGACAAACATGTACCAAATGAAAGAACAGAACAAAGGTCCAGAAAAGGAACTAAATAAAATGGAGACAAGGCAATCTACCAGATACACAGTTCATAACACTGGTTATAAGGATGCTTAATGCTCTCAGTAAGAACCTCAATAAACACATAGGAAACATAAAAATAGAGCTAGAAAACATAAAAGGGAACTAGTCAGAAATGAAGAATATAATATCTGAAATGAAGAATACATTAGATGGAATCAACAACAGATTAGACGAAGCAGAGGGTCGAATCAGCAATTTGGAAGATAAGGTAGCAGAAAACACCTAATCACAACAGCAAAAAGAAAAATAGAATCCAAAAATAATGAAGATGGTTTAAGAGGCCTCTGGGACAACATCAAGCATACCAATATTTGCATCATATGGGGTTCCAGAAGGAGAAGAGAGAGAGAGCAAGGAATTGAAACCTATTTGAAGAAACAATGACAAAAAATTTCCCTAACCTGGCGAAGGAAATAGATATACAAACCCAG